ATCGCTTCCCCCACCCTGCGCCTGGTAAAAAATATTAAACATTTAATAAAAAAAAATTATTTAAAAAAATAAGCCGACAAATTACGAAATCATACTTGCTCTCGTACCAAAATTGATAAAATTACTCTTTCCAGTTGTTGATTGGAAAGTAATTGAATATTCATTCATAAAAATAAAGAAATAAAAAATCTTATTGACATATTTGTAAAGTATATGATTTCATATTTTTGTAAAGTGTACACTTTATTCATGTATATTATTCAATACAATGAATAACATTTCAAAGCTGCTAATACACAAAAAATTCGTAACTGTTGAAAGTACTTTTACTATACAATTTGTTGAGTGTAGTGATGAAAGTGCAATATAACTTTTTTTCCTCAAATAATTGCCTTTACTAATGGCCACATATATTGCTTGCATGTACCCAAGATATTTGTGTCAAAATTTCTTCATCATCATCATATTAGAAGTAACAACAGTGAATATATCAAAATTTCGATCCATATATTTGTGTTATTGGTAGCGTTTCATAATGTTTATGTTTTTTGTTTATGTATAAAAAAATAGTATAAACTGGTTTTTGTTTATTTTTCCCTAAACATAAACTACAAACGCGTTTGGTTTGAACAAATTGTTTGAAAAATTTTAAAAACATAAACTCCAGGGATATATTTGTTCAGGCCTAAAATATTATTTATTTTTAATTATTTTTGATAATGGGATCGTAGACATTATCATTGGAAAAAAAAATTAACTAAAAAAAATTAATTGACAAAAAATTAATTGGAAAAAATAATTGAAAAAAACAATTTATTGAAAAAAAATGCAATTGAAAAGAAAATTAATTGAAAAAAAATAATAATTGAGAAACAAAATAATTGAAAAAATAAATTATTTGAAAAATCATTATTTGAAAATCAAAATTAATTGAAAAAACAAAATTTTGTTAGTCAAAATTTTAAATTTTTATTTAAAAACTAACGTAAACTCATTTTTTACGTTTACGTTTTTTTCTCAAATTTACAAACTGACAACCATTTATAAACCAAAAAAACATTTTCAAACAAATTTTTATGCCAATTTTTTAAAAATTTTGTAAATATAAACTGCAAACTGAAAACAAAATGGTTACCAAACAGGGCACAATGAAAATATTTTTGTGTTTCTTGCAGGAAAATACTATGTGGTGGGTGGCAGCTATAGCAACAAGACAGGGTACCTAGCCCCGTACAAGAGGTATAGATATCACCAAAATGCCCATCGGAATCAAACACCACAGAATGAGTTCGAACGGTTCAACAAGGCCCATTCGTCATTGCGTAGTTGTATCGAGCGGACATTTAGTGCTTAAAAAGTTGAGGTGGGGGGCGTTGCAGAATATGCCGAAATTGAGTTTTTCTAATCAGGTGACCTTTGTATGTGCGTTGATGGTGTTACATAACTTCATACGCCGGCACAATGAAATTGATGAGGTCACGCTGCCTATCCCAAACAACGACGATTACGTGGCCCTAGAAATGCCTGACCACGACGAATACACACAGGTTGCCAATGTGATGGAGGAAGAGGACTCAGACCCGACAATGGCCGCTGTAAGAGCGAACATTACGTACCAACTCGGACGGAGTGAATATTTTAAACAATATTGTTGGTTAATTTTTGAATATGTGTAACCGAGATTCAGATTTATATTATCATACATTTGTAAACACGTGAGTTTTTTAATATTTTGATGTCTTTCGTAAAATAGATTCTGAAAAAAATTTACTTTTTAAGGAAGTATGTTCAATAACTAACATATAAAATACCTGAAGGAAGTATGTCCAATAATTTTTTAATTTTAAGCAATATTTTTTTTTTAAGATGCACCTTCCACAAACAAAAATGTGCTGAAAATATTTTTAAAAATTAATAACACAAAAATTACGCAAAATATATTCAATAAATTTTTTTTGTTTGGTATTTTTGGTAGTTAGTGAATTTTTAGCAAATTTTCTTCACAAACTTTATACTTTTTTATGTCTTTTTATGTTAGATATGTCTACAAATTAAAAAAAAAAATTTGTTCAAAAAAATTTTAAAAAAAATTGTTTAGCAAGCATGGTTTTTTTTTATTTATAAAAAAAATAAATATCAACCATAATTATGCTGTCGTTCAATAACAAAACCAGCTAAGAAAAAAAAAAAACATTTAACAAAACACAACACTGTTCATCACTGTTCCACTCCATTTCCCATTGTCCAATTGCGTGGAACAATGGGAGCCACGAAAACCCATGCAGGGTAACCAACATGAGTTCAGATCTTCTCCTTGATGATCCTCCTTCAGTTCCTCCTCGCAACGGTTGAAATCTGCCGTTGCAAATCTAACCGTTTAAAATATATCTATATAATAAGGCAAGAGGTTTTTTGAAAATGTCTTAAAATGTATGTGAGATACATTTTGATCCAATGGCTGAGATTAATTCTAAGTTTATATCAATGGTTGAGATGATGTCTGCCCAAACGCTCTCTCTCTCTCTGCCGCCCAAACGCTCATCTCTCTCTCACTCCCACATCTGCCCAAACAGACGCCTCTCTTCACAAGTTCTCTCTCTACACATCTGGCCCTCTCTACACGTTCGCTCATCGCCGCCATTGAAGGGGAAGATCGAACTTGGCTCATCGACACCTACCCTCCTGGCGACCCACTCCCAACAACGCCGAGAAGCTCCTGAAACCCAACCGATCTGCTTCGCAAACCAAAGCCCTCACGCTCTTCTCCTCCACCTCACCGAACCCGTCTCACCGGCGACCTTTTTGACGGAGACTTACTCCCCAAACCTAACCCATTGCTTTGCCCTCATTCTCTCTGCCCTCACTTCACAAACCAGAGTTCCCTTGTGAGCAAACCAGCCTCTGTAGCTTCAATCATAGCAGCTCATATATGAAAGTTTTCGAGAAGTGTTGCTGAAACTGTTGCTGTTCGAGTTGCTGAAAATGGTTGAAAATGGTTGCTGAAATTGTTGCTCATAACTGATTTTTTTTTTTTTTTTTTTTTTTTTTTTTTTGAAATTATGCTGTTATGGCATAAGATGTATTTAGGTGACAATGTACATTTAGTAATGTTGTTGATGCTGTTATGGCATAAGATGGACACCCAAAAATTTTCAGGTTTCTTGATGCAAATTGTACTCATTATTTTCTTATTGATCTGTAATACGTGGTAATAAACTAAGTTCTGAGTTTGTAAGTTTTGGGTTAAATCACATCCAAGTTTTGATACAAGAGTTGTTTGCTATTTAACTACTTCTGTAAGTGATAATTTGGTGGTGAACTTGCTTCAAAGTGTATGATAAATTAGTTATGTTATCTATTGATAAGGATGATTTGGAAACTTAATTAGCTTTGAATTTCTGGGTCTATCCAAAAACAGTATCTAGAGTGATTCCTAAACCCTTATTCACTTCCTATCTCCAACATTAAATGGGTTTTACGACAGATTGCAAGAAGAAATTGCAAGTGGAGGAAATTTTGCATACTCCAAACCTCAAATCATTTATGCCAAAATGATGCCCTTTTGTGGTGGAAGCTCTACTATAATTTGTATGCAAAAAATTGAACTCTTCCACAATCCAGATCCACTTGCTACTTGTAATGAAACATATTATGCTATCAACTCCGTTGGTGAACCATTAATAACTATAATATTTTGTTAGTCACTTGTGAAATAGAAATAAAAGAGAGTAAGAACATGCAGTTACTACTCAAGTGGATTCATTACCTTTTACGCAAGGACAGTTTCATTCCAGAACTTATACAAACAACTGACAGATGCTTTTAGTGAATTAAACCCATTAATTACAGAGAGTTCTGGTTGACCATTAAAACGTCTATAAGCAACAGATGCTTATGGTTTGCAAAGCAGAGAAAATGAGGAATGGAGCAGTGCTTTGGGTTTCGAAGTGGGTCGTCGTCGTTGGGAGTGGGTCGCCATAAGGAGTATGTCGCCGGTTGCCAGTGAGGCTGGGTTCGGTGGAGAAGGGATGAGGGTGAGGCTGAGTGAGAGTGAGGTAAAATGTGTGAAGAGCCTCTGCCGTTGTAACTCTATATGTATAGCAGCAGGTGAAAATTATTTGAAATTTCAATTTCATATATATATTTTTTTTAAACCGTTGGATCTGCAACAGCTGAGGATCTGAAAGAAGATCCTCAAGGAGAGAATCTGAACTCAACCAGCATGCACGTTTTTGTCTCTTCCTACTGTTGTGTCGGGAGTAGGAAGGTTAAAAGAGTAATTTTGGTAGTTTCTATAATATTTTATTACATATTTTTTCATAAAACATCAAAAAATTAATCGACACACACATTTTTTTTTTGTCTACTTTTTTTATCAAAAAGTCAAAAAGTACAATTATTTAGAACCCCACAAACCAACCCTTAATTCCCATAGGTTTTTGGAACCAAACAATTAAAATGTGAAAAGGAAAAGAGTCATGCATGTGGAGCCATATTTAAATTTTTTTTGTTTACATATAATAAGACAATTAATCATATATGAATGAACATAAATGTATTATGCCGTCCAAAATTGAAAATGTTGGTTAAACTCCAAAGACTTGGGAGGCGTACACAACAATTCAGAAGACTTAGGTTTCTGATGGCACCGTACCAACAACCTGCCATATAAAACATTGACTAACAAGGTTTGAGTTGTCTAGACAGATGAAAGTAACAGCTGGAATTGCCCTTGAGATGTTCAGTTTATGGCCAACAATGAAGAATCTAGGTCAAGATTATAGCACATTTTCAGACCAAACTAGTTCTTTGAACAGAGTTGTTTGCATAAGATGCATTCACATTTTCAGAATGTGGAATACTAAAAAACAATCACGGTGAGACATCATGAGGTGAGACCCACATGTGGTATTTACATGTGGATCCTACCCCTTATCTCACATTTATGTTTGTTTTTGTGTTCTAATTATGTGTTCTTAGAGTTGTCCATAGACATAGGGTGAAGACATTATTATCAGTTTTACATTGTATTCAAAAGAACTTCAAATGCAATCACAAAATAAAATCCTTTGCCTTCACTTCACAGCAATGGCAATTGATTAACAATCCTCAATGTGAACACTACAATGATCTATATGAAATGGTGAAAACAAAAAAATATATAAAACCACAAAGACCTGTACTGTACAAGACTATCAATCATAGGCTATTTGTTATACTGCAATCTTCATACACAACATAGTAATCTTCCCTCCAACATCTACGAAGTAGGAAATAAGGAACCAAATGACAAAATGCCATCGTTTAATACCTCAGCCTCCGCTGCTTGCCTTGATCTCGAATGGATGAACTCAGAAGACCAAAAGAATGTGGGAATCACCCCTTTGCAAATGCTGTGCTCAAAATCTATAAATGTTTTGCATGCTTGATTACGCCCTGTGGTTTCTTCTGCTGTCGGACCTCATAACTGGAATGTCACTCTTATCTGTGTCAGAGTTCTCCACTTGAGATTCACCTTCTCTGGTTCCAGCATGGTTCCTTCGCTGTCTTCGATCCTGAAAGTCCAACCATGTTAAAAAATTTAAGTTAGTATCACAAAATGACCTTTGAAGTTTCAAACAAATCAAAATGGTACTATTTTGTACTTGAAATATCAGAATCAAACCTCTCGTGGTATGGGATATTCCTCCGATTCAAGCATGCGGACAACTTGACCCATCTTTGGTCTCTTGTCAGAATCTGGGTCGACACACCTCAAAGCTGTCAAAAGGGCTCGTTTAAGGGCACTTGTAGAGGGCTTGGTCTCAATGGTCGGGTCAACCACCTCTTCAGAGCGCCTGCTGCCAACCATGATTTTGAGCCAGTCGACCAGATTTACCTTCAAGAACCATCAAATTCAATAATAAGGAAAAACTAAGCCACCTGATGGTGTAATCACCACTAGGATAAAACCACCATGTTTTGAGTTGAACAATCAAGCTTAAACTAGCACATTGGTCTTAGCCCCACCATTACCTTTTCAACATTCCAAAAAGCGAATGAAAGTTCTCCATATTCATAATTATTTTAGATAGCTTGATATTGATTTAAATGGAAACCAAATTCGATTGTTAACTTACCTTCCTTAATAAGTGCATACAATAAAAAAGAAGAAATTGCAACAAAAATGAAATTCCAGATGAGCAGTACCAATGGGGAATAATAATATTTAAAAATAAAAAAAACTATGGTCCTAGGATATGCTGGTAAACATTAAATACACCAGAAGCACTGCTTAAAGTCAACTGAATGTGGTTGGAATATGCAATTATATGAATGCTATAATCATATAACGTGCCAATATTATTATTAGAATATGTCATTCATGCTTGCATTTCTTTACATTTAACTTGCTCGCAAACACCTTTGCTTTTTTGTTTTGTTTTGTTTTTGTCTTTTTGTTTTTGATTCAGAACACTTCTAAGTACTAATTTATGTGAATGCAGCAGATCAGTTGAAGATAAAACATGTATGAGTAAAAACATGAGAAGAATAAATTTTGTCAATGCCTTTGCGAAAATTTATTAAAGTACTTGTTTCAAGAAATCAATGTTTGCATACCTCATGTGCTGGACGACTATAATCCACTGGATCTCTTCCAGTAATCGCTTCCAAGAGCACAACCCCAAAACTGTAAACATCACTCTTCTCGTTTAAAAGACCACTATTTGCATATTCTGGTGCCACATATCTGTAGAATTTTAAGAATAACAAAAAAAGAAAAAGAAAAAGAAAAAAGGTTATTCCCCAACTAATGGCACTATCTATACAAGTGCTTCCAAGGTCTTTTTCAATACTTACAAACAAAAGCACTATGAAAAGAAAAAGAATAGCCTCATAAAAGATACTCACCCAAAGGTACCCATAACTCTGGTTGTAATATGACTCTTTCCGGCACCCAGCAATTTTGCTAGCCCAAAATCAGATATTTTAGCATTGAAGTTGTCATCAAGCAATATATTACTCGACTTAATGTCTCGATGCACCACTTTCGGCTCAATTGCTTCATGCAAGTAGGAAAGCCTGCAACAGGTATATCATGTGTAAAACAGAAAATGAAGCCTAGGAAAAATTTAGATTATTCAGATTAAGAGAAAGTACTTACGCCTTAGCAGTGCCAAGGAGAACTTTCATGCGGGCCTCCCAAGTAAGATATCCATGCTGATGCATCGCTCCATGAAGCCATTGCTCTAAATTTCCATTGTTGACATACTCATATACCAACATCCTGAAATTTAATAGAAGAATTGGAAGGGAAGTAAGTCCAAACACTACACTCACAAGCACTTTCGGCAACTTTATTTACATAAATAAACACTTCCATATATATTCAATAGCAAGAAGTTAACAAATCAATCCATTACATATCTAACTATCTAAGTAACTACGGTAACAAAAAAGGATAGAATTTGCAGGAATAGTTGTTGCTCCATTAACTAATTTATAGAAGGGTCCTGCTAATAACAGCTCTAAAAAATTTGTATACAATTTTTACAATAAGCACCACAAAAATCCAAAAAAATTATAATCCCAATATAATTTTCACATATCCCAAAACTCTTTTATAAATTTCTATAAAATTTTAACACACTTTTTCAACACTAACAACAGCCCTAAGGGCTGTTTTTAGCATTTACCTTTCATAGAATATCGTTATGCAACAATTAGGCAAGTTATGTCATACTTATGGAAAAGTATCTGCAGAAGTCAATTTATCAGTTTTTCTGTTTCTCATCTACAACTCAAGTTCCATCTATTTATAATATAGAGAGAGGTTAAAGGAATATGTATGGTTGGTACCTGTGAGTTCCTTCAATACAGTAACCCAGAAGCCGAACTAAGTTTTTATGCCGCACATGACCAATAGCCTCAACTTCCACCCTGAATTCCTTCTCTGCTTGTCCTCTATAAGTAACATAATAACAAGCACTACATAAGTTACATAGCTAATAGCTATAGAGAGTCATGTATCAACTAAATTAAACCTGTGAAAACTTACAAATTGTTGAGGAGCTTCTTAACAGCCACAGGGCTGCCATTGACCAGATGGCCCTGATAAACAACTCCATACCCACCCTCACCTATAACATTTTCTTTCGAAAATCTGTTTGTTGCAATATCTAGGTCCCTTAATGTAAACCAATGACCCCATCCAAGGTGAGAGAATTCGGGCAGACCAGATAGAGGGGAAGGGGCAGTTACAGGATGCGAAGAAGGTCTGAACACATTAACTTGCCTGGTACTCCCTTTTTCTCCCAATTGAGAATTGTCATCTTCTTTCTCTAAATGATTAAATGAGCCCGATTGACTACTATTATCTGCATTTTTTGTCTTCTCTACGTTTGAATGCATCAGAAGCTTGTCGGAATCCTTGTCGCTGAACTTATCATGAAGGGTGAGGAAATCACCATCAGGAGGAATAAAATTGTGAGCTGAATTTTGATCAACCCTTATCTCTTTGATCTCCTTTGACACGGTTGGGATTTGGCTAACAGGAAGATTTTCATTAGCCCGTCTAGCCTTCTTTCGTGAAGTAAGATAAAACGATAGCATCAAAAGGATAATTACAATGAACATCCCCACGAAGATCGCCATTAAAACCCACACTTTAAGATGGAAAATCTGTGTTTGCTTTGATAATTCGCTTTTGAGATCGGATGCCATGTTTTTTTACAACACCAAGATGACTGCAAGGTGACAAATAAGAGAATTCAGAATGCAATTCCACATATAAACAAGCATATGTTACATATAAATTAAATATGAATTCTGTAATGACTTCAATTTCCAGAATTCTTATTTTCTACCACGTTTCCATCAGCAGACAGTACAATCCAATCAATTACATCTGAGTATGAATGCCTACTACGTTTTACATCAAATACACTGCAACCTAACCAATTGGTCCACCATTTAAAAAGACCCATGAAATTATAGAGTAAATGTGAAAGTAACAATCCACATGTCACACAACAAAAAAAATTGAGAGAGAGAGAGAGAGAGAGAGACCAAACTGATAAAGCAAGAAGACCCATTTCGATCTTCGAAAGATGAAACAATAGATACACACACAAACTGAAGGAAAAGGAAGAAAAAATCACAATTTTTTTCTATCAGTTTTTGCAGCTTCCAAGCTTCAGAAACCAAATCAATAACCAAAAAGAACCATGTCGAGGCCGGAATTCTGATACTCAATTTGTTTATGAGAAAACGAGGCCGAAAATCAAAGTTGATTGCGAATGATGTGAAGAGAATCCAGAAGAAATTAGACAAATTGTGGAGTAAAAATGAGGTATCAACAGACCGGATTAAGGAAGAAAACATGTAATGTAACCCATTAGTTTCCATATACAAACATGACAAGTTAAAAATTTTCCAATTTCGAGTAATAACATTGTAAAACCCTGAAAACTTAAATGAGCATAAGCTATATGTACACAACAACATGTATCAAAGTTTCTCATTTTACCTGTAACTCTGAGATGAGATTTAGGAAAAGCAGCCTCCACAAAGCTCCTTCACACCCACCACCCTCGAAGACAATGAATCAAAACTCTAAAATCCTAGATCTATTCTTTATAGGAGAAGCCCCAAAACCCATTTGAAAATGAACCCATTGAAACACCTACAACAAATCATCCCCATTGTCAAGAATTCCCGATATGTAGGCAGCTTTGCTTCGTGGGATTAACTTTCTTTTCTGGGTCTTCACTATACCCCAAATCCCAAATGTGTATATCTCATCTCATCTCATCTTATGTTGCTTGCTTTAAAGGACCCTCTTAAAAAGCCCCTTAATAAAATAAAAGAGAAGAGAAGAGATGACAAGAGAGAACTTTCTCCTTGTTTTTGCGGTGTAGTTGGAATTGGAAGGGAATTGAAGCAAACTCACAATAATAAAAGCACATGGAATTCTGGGATGGCTGTGCTGTGTGTGAAATGGGGTGGTGGTGGGGATAGGAGTCCTATATAACATATAATGTTAAGTAACATGAAGAAAAAAAAAAACAAAAAACAAAAATGATTATGAAATATTTTTTATGGTTAGATTACATATGTAAAAAATATCACACATTAATTAATGAATAAAAAATTTTCATAAAATATTTTATGATATTTTTTTCATTATCCTTAATATTATTCTATAACCTAACAAGGCAAGGACTCATCAGTGGTAGGTAATGCATTTACATACAGAGTAAAAGAAAAGCATGAAAATTGCAATTCTTTTTTTTTTTTATAGTAATTTTTTTATGTGCTTTCAAAAAATTGAGAAGGTAGAGACCGTGACTGATTATCAGAAAACTTCATTACAATAACAATTATTCCACACCTTTTTTCATTGTCATTTTATATTTTGTAACTCACAATTTTCTAAGCTCAAGTTTTTAGTCAAACATAATTTTGAAAGGATCTTGTTGTTAACGATTATTTTATGATTATTGGTTAATGAAATTTAAAATCATTATACATTTTTATGACATATAAACTAACAAAACATGTATAATTCTTTTAAGTTTCTTAATAAATATCCATATGATATTCTTTAATAAAATTTATTTTAAAATAAAAGATCTTACCAACAAGTGTTATTAAGTCACAATAAATTAAAAAATTAAAAAAGAAGAAGAAAAAAATATTATAAAATACTTTTCACTAGTTTTAAAAATAAAATTATATATTCGGCATGAAAATGAGTTTTGTAAAATATATATATATATATATATATATATTTTTAAATCGTTTGGTTTGTGTTGTAAAGATATATGCTAAAAATAATAATAATAATAATATTATATGCATTAATTAGTATACTAATTAATGTATTAATTGATGATGTGACATAATTTAAGATATTTTTAGTATTTGTAATGTGATTAATGAGTGGAGTCAATAATAATGTCATAACTAGTATTGGTATATTAATTGGTACATGTAACACCATCGTAAAAAAAAAATCATAAAAAAGAAAAACGAGTAGCTGTAATTATGATTATAGGTATAGGTGCAAGTAATTGGTGTGATTGAAGGCCTATTTGGGGAACAAGGATGTAAGTTAAGTCAAAAGCAAGTTTTTTTTTTTTTTTTTTTTTTTTTGGGAAAAAAATCATTTTTGAGAAGTTGAAAATAAACCAACACCAAAATACCCTCATCTAATGTGATACCAAAATATGAAAAATATTCTCTTATAATGATAAAATTGTAATTTCACAAAATTACATGAGTTAATATGATAAATTTTTTTATTTGTCTAGTGATGTGACAATATAAACAAATGATATTAAAAAAAAGTAAAAAGTAACATTTTTCTATCTTACCAAATAATTTTGTGAATAAGCCCAGAAACTTAAAAAAATAATTTATATCCAAGATTTCAAAATAGGAAATGCAAATGCAGTGTTGAAAGGTCAAATGAGCAGACTGGATGCCACATTAGCCCCAAAAAACCAAGTAGTTAGAACCCCCCCAATTTATGGTTACTTTGAAATTCATGAGCACTGTAATTTACTTCCTCCTTGAGCTTTGTGAATTCTTCAAAAATATTAAATATTAATTGATGAATTGGGATATGTGGGTCAGGTAGGTTGGAGAGAGTCAAAAGAAACAGACTGGATAGCATACCAGTTCTGTGATGGTCATAATTACCCTTGTTTCCATCTGAAATTATAAGAATACCCTTTCATATTTCCCTTTGAAATTACAAAAATGTCGTCTCTCTTTTTTGTTTAGTGTGTTTGTGGGAACAGCAAATGGATCAATACATTATATTATAGAATAATGCTTGGGATTCCTTTTTTGGATCACCCCTCACCCCTTTGTCACGTGGCGGGTGGTGATTGGAAGAGCAGGAAAAAAAAGAAAAAGAAAAAGAAAATGTAACCAATAAGAGAGAGAGGGGGTCAAAGAGGGTGGGAAAAAAGAGGGGATGAATCATTGTTGTATATTATATAGAAATGAGGAGGCATACCCAAAAACTGCTGAAACCAGTCTGCAAATGTAGTTTATGTTCCAATATGTCAACAGTGTCAAAACAGCTAAGCATGATATGTATAATAATTGAGTTCCTCAGAAATAGAGGTGTAGAAAGGAATGATAAAGGTAAGGGTAGCCAACAAACAGAGATAGGTCAAAGAGAAAGCAAGCCCCCCACCCTTACAGTCATTATTTTACTGTATCTTCATATTTGAGTTGAGACATGTAAACTTATTATAATGCAACTTGTAATGCTTTTTATATGTGGTTGCTTCTATTTACACCCTAAAAACAATTCTTTACATGACCATTTGACCATGTGCACTCAAGTTTAGGGACACTTGAGTGTATTTTTTTTGTGATAACAGTGTATTTTTTTATATATAAATATATTTTAAAAAAAATTTAAATGTGTTTTCCAAAAAAATATGTTCAGTTTAAAAATAAATAAATAAATAAATTTTAGCATGAATAACTAGAACTCACAATTTGATGGTTCCAATTGACTCTGTTTGGTTTAGTTTTAGAATTATGATTTGAGTGTGAAGTTATAATTTAAGTGTGAAATTGTGAGTTGAGTTTTGAAAAGAAAAAATTTATTTGATTATGAGTTTTGAAAAAAATTAAATTAAATTTTAAATTTTGAAAAAAGTTTTAAGTTGTATTTTAAGTTTTGAATTTTTGAATTTTGAGTTGTATTTTGAAATTTTTTGGATTTTTTTAAATATTTAAAAATATTTAAGACATTTTATTTTTGTTATTTTAAATATATATTTTTTATTTTAAATATCTTATTTTTTATTCAAAATATTTTATTTATTTAACATTTTAAACTCAAAACACAACTCCGCACTTAAATTATAACCAAACACATAATTCAAAACTCAATTAAAAAACTATTTTCAAAACTCATAACCAAACTCATAAAACTCAGTTCAATTTTTTTTTTCAAAACTTATAACCAAATTGTTTTCAAATTTCTATTAAAAAAATTCAAAAAAATATATTTTTATTTTGTTCTTTAAAATTATTTTTTATTTTTTATTTTTTACGAAAAATATTTTTTCAAAATATTTTTTTATTTTTTGTTATTTTTTTAAGTATTGATTATATCATTTTGTACGATTTAAATATATATGGCAATCTAAATTTTTTTAAAATTTTAAAAAAATATATTTATAAAATAAAATAAAATATTTACACTCAAATCATGATTCTAAAAATAATTTTAAAAAATAAAATAAAAATATTTTAAATTTTTTTTAAATAGAGTTTTGAATTGAATTTTGAGTTATGTATTTAGTTATAAGTTTTGAAAATAATTTTTACAAAGTTTTGAGTTGTGTGTTCAGTTATAAATTTTAAAAAGAGTTTTAAATTTTTTTGATTGGAATCACAATTCCAAAAATGCTACCTTAACCTTTATCTATCATTTTTATTTTTCTGTGACAATAGTTTTTTTTTTTCTTTTCTTTTAAAAACAATTTAAATGTGTTTTCTAAAAACATATGTTCAGTTTAAAAATAAATAAATAAATTTTATTTTAGCATGATAACTAGAACTCACAATTTGATGGTTGGCACACCAAAAAGTGCCAAAAGAGAGTAATATCCTTTCTAAAAACTGTCTCTAAATAGATGAACTATTATTCTATCAAAACATTTACTTCTTTTGAATATTGCATCACAGGTTCACATGTAAAAGATCTACCATCTACAATATATATATATATATAAAATAAAAATAAAAATAAAAATAAAAAGGTAAAAGATCTACAAGATTGATGATAAGACATAAAATTGACGAAAGTATGATAGATTGGCTGCACCTTGACACATAATTGGAGGATACATTCTCTATTTAATTACATGCATTGCATGACCTATGGTGACTATCTAACAACAAATTTAGATTTTATGCCAATCGCATATTTAAAGGGGTTTGTAAGGGCACATTTTAACTTCATATGCCTGCATACATATATTTATGTGGAAGGATTTAAATATTTTATTGTTATTAAATTTATTAATAAAATTATACATTATATGTTGGTCCGATTTGATAGAGTTTTTTTTAAGTTAAAAGTTAATAATCAGAGAGTAAAAATTAAAATCACTTCTCTATTAGTTTTTAAATAATTAATTTTTTTTCCAATTTATTTAAGGTATTTCAGCCTAATAACCTATAAGCAAAAGTTACATCAAATAGTTTGATACAAACTCTCAAATTAAAATAAACTAGTATAATCATCTTATGAAAGCTACAACAAATAGCTCTGAAATAATAAAATTATACATTATATGTTGGTCCGATTTGATAGAGTTTTTTTTAAATTAAAAGTTAATAATCAGAGAGTAAAAATTAAAATCACTTCTCTATTAGTTTTTAAATAATTAGTTTTTTTTCCAATTTATTTAAGGTATTTCAGCCTAATAACCTATAAGCAAAAGTTACATCAAATAGTTTGATACAAACTCTCAAATTAAAATAAACTAGTATAATCATCTTATGAAAGCTACAACAAATAGCTCTGAAATCTCATACTCTTTGTCATGAATTATGAATTCCGCATAATCTCCCTCCCTTAGCATTTAAACTTTGTGAATTTGTGTTTAATTTATGTATTTTTGTGATATTACTTATATATATTTGTAAAAATTCATGTAATTTTGTGATAAAATTACATTTGATGTACAATACACACCGGAACATTTAGGCCAAGTTTGGCATGAGGTAAAAAAGACAAAAAGTCAAAAAGTCACTATCCTATTTAAGTCACATCATCTTATTTAAGTCACATCACCTCTCTAACACATCACTTCAAACCCAACCCAAACCCAACCCATATTTCATAAAAAGTCAAAAAGTGCACTTATTTAGTCTTCCCAAACTAGGCCTTAGTCATTTCAACTATACAAGTCAATTAAATTCCCTCAACAGTGAACTAAACCATTTTTGGTGATTTTACCTTTGCAAA